AAATCAGGTCAGATAAGTAGCTCAGTTTTTGTTTTGTTTTGTTTTAGGTTAACAAACATTTAAGCACCTCCCTCTTTCAACAACACTAGGCTAAGGAGTCCCAACGGGCCAATGCAATCTAGACATTAGTAGTCCAAGATGAGGTGGCAGTCAGTGCTCACAATCCCCTGGAGGAAAATACTCAATTTAAGGGATGTTAGGTCTAGGTCAAGCTTAGCCGCCTCTGCCTAGATGAGGCCTAACAAAAAAACAAACAAACAAAAAAACCATAAAATGCTGCATGGTCTGTACCAACGAACAATCTGGTCCAGGCAGCAGGTAATTGAAAGCCTTCAGGGTCTTCAGCAGTCTATCAGTTAAAAGTGAGGGTGAGGGTGAGAAAGGTAATAAATTTGCATTTTCTTTTGGTGATACCTTTGATGGGAACAGGCTCTTTGCATCAGGGTATGTTCTTAGATCCTTTCCCTTCTTGGATGATCCCAGCAACTTCTCATAAAGATCTTGTTGATACAGAGTTAACTCAGCCACAAGCCACTGTAACCCACCCAGATCCCTTTGTGTTCTAATATCAGCAGTATGTTACCAAACACTGAGTTCTGTCTTTACTGCACTCTTAAAGGGCTGGTTCTGTAGGATGAGATACTGGAAGTCTGTCTCTTATGGGAAAGGCACCATGAGGAAGATGGTAATAAAGGTCTGGCTAAGACACAGTCTGATACAGATGCAGCCTGTATCCCAAGCCTCCCTAGTACCATGATAACTGTATAAATAATTTCCTCTGATACAAAACTCCGTCTTGTAGGGAAGTTTGATAAGACACAGAATGATGAAAAGAGGGGTGAAACAGTCCATCCTGCAAGGAAGCTTCTTAAAATCAGGAAGTAAATAACTCGAAAAAAAACAAAAACAAAGACAAAAGACGTTAAGACGTCCCTGAAACTGCCTAGACCCTCCCCTCCCTCAAGCATGCATAAGCTGTAAAGCCTGCTCAGAGAGTATATCAAACAAGGTGAGCTACATAAATGAAGTAGAGATTAGCCAAGCATCTTGAAAGAAGCTAGGACCACCTGGTTAATTGAAAGAGAGTCTTCCTAGTTTATTAAGCTGACTTCAAGTTGTGAAGTGCCCTTCAGGTTTCCAGAGCTGTCACCAATGCTGGGGTGGGCTTTGGTGGTGCAACTGTCTTTGAATCATTTGTGCTCCTGAAACTAACCCCCAATAAATTAATTGTTGGTTCATGGAGTTGTATGTTTGTGGTATCCTTAATTTAATCGTTGTCTGTTCCCTATTTGTGGTAGATGTTTATTCACACATCCCCACAAATAGTGTCACACAACATCTAGATACTCCAGAGCTACACTCCGGTTTCTGCCCCACATTTGGCACCATCCAACTCTATATTCTCATCCCTATTGCACCAACCCCCCAGTTGGCTGCTTTCCCACAGTTATCTCTGGAGGTGTTCCTCCAGGACTGCCCTATGAGGTTGATACGCTCCACACAACACCAAACATCCCCTACTGACAGGGCTAGGCTGAATAGGATATACATAAAGAAATCATCCTCCTAGATCTCTGCTGGGGGCCTAAGGCATCTATCCACCTCTGACTTGGCCAGTGAAACAGACCATCTTTGAGGACATTCACACACCTGACAAAGGATGCACTTAGGAGTATTGGTTCACCCTGCCCTCAAGACCCTGATAGAGTATCTCCACTCATGGCAAAGACATATCAAGTATGTCTGAGTACGGTACTGTTGGGGTCCGCAAAAAGACCACTGACACTCAGACACTGAAGTCGAGTCAAAACATATGGTTTATTTCACATACAATTCTAAAGCAACCGATCGAAAGCACACCTGGAATCTGAAGTCAGAACCATTTCAAGGGCTGGGTTTAAAGGGGGAAAAAAAAACCACAAACAGGAGCACTTGTAATATTTTGGTATCTATACAAAGCAGTGCTATCTGACATTTAAACTAATTGCTTTAGTCAGGCAGAGAACTGAATGGTAATTGTCTGTGGGGGTGTTGATGGGTCCGGGCAGAAGCTCTTGGGTGGGGCAGTTGGGCTGAGCCTTCACATGTCAGGGTATCCGGGACACTGGACAGCCGGCCCGCGCAGGTTCTCTGAGTACCCAGGTAGCACCACGCACCCACTGCTGCTGCCAGGGCACCCACTCCCGCTGCCAGGCTGAGCATCCCGAAGCCCCACGCTCGTTCGGTTAGTGCCACTGGTGGGTGGGGCAGCTTTAAGAAACCTATATCGAAGGGTCTCGATAGTACAAGCCCCTGGGAAGGAGCTGTGTGAAACAACAGTACGTTTCCGGCTCTCGGAGCCACCCTGCTTTCCGTAGCCCCCTCGCCCCGCCCCCTTTCCGCCCCCCCTTCGCTCCCCCCTTCTGCGAGACATTCCAGACACGCCGCTAGTTTGGCGGGAACCAAGCCTCGCAAGATCTTGTCTGCACATGCGCAGTGGGCCGCTCATGCCGTTTAAACCCCCTGCGCTTCTCCAGAACTTTCTTTCCTTAGCGGAATTAAGAGCTGTGCGGCTCTGTTAGTAGTGGGGTTTGGCAGCACTGTAGGGGAGCCAGAGTAGTCATGCAGGAGCCGGAGGAGGGCCTCGAGGGGAGAGCAGGGGTTGAAGAAGACCACGACGGCCAGCGTCGTCCTCAAGCTGCCGATGCCCAGACCAGCGCCCA